ATTCTATAATTTAATTCTATTTTAATCTTAATAAAATAAATATAAATTTATATAATTAAATTAAATTTATTTATTTTTAACTTACTTTTTTATATAAATTTCTTGTCAATAATAAGATTATAAAAAATATATAATAATTAAATATAATTAAAAAGATAAATAAAAATAATTATTAAAGTAAAGATTTATAAATAACTAAAATTTAATATTAAAATTAAATTAAACTTTAAAATATATATTTATTTTAAGTTTTTAAATACTATATTTATATATATATTTAAATTATATAAAATTATAAGTATTTTATAAATTTTAAATTTATTATTATAATATAAATTATATAAATATCTAATAAAAAATTAAACTTAAATCTTATAAGTAATTAATAAAAAGTTAATAAATTATTAATAAGTTATTTTTTATTTTAATTAAAAAAATAAAATAAATATTAAAATTCAAAATATAATATAAATAAAAAATAAATAATAAATATTAAATAATAATAAGTAAAATTATTATAAAAAGTATTTAATAATTATTTTATAAAAATTTAATTATATAATAAAATATAATAATACTGTAAACTGCTAACTAATAGATTTCCTTATGATTTATATCTTGTAATAATTTTTAGATCCAATTTTTGATTTAAATCCAGATATTTTACATAGTATAATTCAAAGAATTATATTTCTATCTCATAAGAATATCTGAATATAACAATAAAATTTTATTTATCTAATATTTCTAACTATTTTTTATTTATCCAATCATTTTTATAATCTTCTACTTTATTATATATCTTTCTATTAATAAAATTAACTATCAAACTTTCATCATTATCTTTTTCTATTAAATCTTTATAATCAAATATTAATTTATCTTCTGTTTTATTCATTCTTACTGAAATGTCATAATATTTAAATACTTTCTTAATTAAATTAAAATCAATATCATCTCATAATTTTTTAACTCATTATGCAATTATTATATATGATAATTTTCAAATATGTTTAGCTAGTATTAATTGATGAACTTCATTAGCTATCTATTTATTATAATAATTACATACCTAATAAATTAAAAATTTAATAAATATATTTTATATAATAATAAAAAAATTAATTTATCTTTTATTTGAAACTTTTATTAATTATAATATCTAGTGATTAAAGTTTGCTAGTTAATTTATCTGGAATAACTGTAAAATAAGTATTTTTTTCTTTGAAATTTCATTTAACTAATTTAATCAAATGACTTCTAAATGAATTCAAAACAAGAAAAGACTTTGAATTTTCTATTTTATTACATTTAATTCAAATAATATTAATTCAATAATTTATTTCTTGTTTATTACATTATTTTTTTTTATTAATACAAATAATAACATCTTGAGGAAAGCTTTTATATAAGATATTTTTTAGTTTGAAGATGCATATAGAAGGAAGTTTCATATCATCAGCAAGATATTCAAGAATTATAGTAAAAATAAGCTCTTTTATATCCTATTATTCAAATATTAATAGTTTTAATATTATGTTACTCAAGAGTTATAGCATAAGAAAAATCAAAAGATAATAATATTTTATCCATATTTCTAATATATTCTATTAAAAACTCATATTAATAATATTTTAACAAAATAAAGCTTAAAAATTCACTTTATTTTTTAATAAAATTTTTAGGAAGATATTATATAATAGTTATCTGATAATAATTCAAAAGATTATGATAATGTAAAAATCTACTTAATCATTAATCAGAGAATTTAAAGTTGATAATATTAGAATAAAAATATTTAAATTTGTCAGTTTGTGAAATTAATTTTGTTTTTCATATCACTATATTTTATATTATAGTATTTTATTTATCATATAATTCTATAACCTATATAATAAGTCTTTCTTTAAGTAATAAATACTGTACTTGGTGACCATAGTTAAGTATTAGAATATAAGATGTGATATCAAATAATTTTTTATTTCTTCATTTGCAAACTTACTTAAGTTTAATATTGAATCTTTTAACTATTTTATACATATTATTAACATATTTTAAATAATAAATAACCATAAGTTTTTTATGAATATATCAAGTGTGATGAGTTTTTTTTGTAAAATAAGATCATTTTGGAGTGATTCTTTTATATAGAGATATTTTTTAAAAATTTAAAATCAAAAAATAAAATTTTTATGTATCAATCAAAGTGAAAAATTGAAAATTTGCATCAATCATTAATTTATATACATGCAATAAAAAATATGTTTAATCAAAGTATAAATATACAGATCACATCTATATTTATAACAGTTCTTAAAAAAAATAAATTTTTAATAATTTCTTTAGAAGTACAACTCACAGAATATATCTCTTATCAATATAAAGTATTCTCCTTACTTGGATATCTGGGATACTAAAATAGATATTGAAAATATCTGGATATATTTGTTAGCAATTTACAGTAACTTAATAAAATCTTATTTAAAACTTTTTAAAATTTATAAATAATTATTTTTATATTCAAATTATATTAAGAATTATTTATATAAAATTAAAAAAAATAAAATTAATTTAAAGAATATTTAAGTAATAAAAATTAATTATTATTATTTATTTATTAATAAAATTTATTAATTTAATTAAATCAAATCTAAAATTATAATTAATAATAATTTATTCAAATTAATTATAATTAATTATAAATAATTATAAAAAATTTAATCTTTAACTAGTAATTAACTATAATTAATTATAAATAATTATTAATAATAATTATTTATAATTAATAATAATCAATTATAATTGATTACAAACTAAAATTGATAGTAATTAAATTTTTTTTATAATTATTTAATATCAAAAAATTAATTTTTACTAAAATTAATTAATTTTTAAAGTTATTTATAATTAATTAATAATTAGTTATTAACTATATTTAAAATTTTTTTAATAATATTAACTTGAAAAATTATTATAATAACAATAAAATTAACTTCCTGATGCGATGTTTCTCGACTCGACCAATCGGAATCTTTATCTGCATCGATCAATCATAATCGGCATTTTTTCACGTGATTTGTCCCAAATTTAGACGATCCTCCAAAAATAGAAAAACAAACATGTTCTAGAGTGTTTAAATGGGAAGTAACAATCAAATATTAGTTCATATAGATTTATATTCGGCATGGGCAAGACTACTTTTGGCAAAAATCTGGCTGATGCTATGGGTCGCGATTGTATCGCGATTGTCAACAGATTCATGCTTGTTTATTAGTACATGTACACAATCAAACTGGATATAACGAAAAGTAATTGTGCTACTTAAACAGATATAACGAGGAGTAGTTTTGCAGTCTTTTTTCTTCTTTATATCCACATATTCGGGAATTGAATACTATAACAAAGGTGGGGTAGTGCCGCCGTTTTTTCTTCGTTATATCCAGGGTTCATTATATTCGGTTTCACTGATAATCTACTATTTCAAAGTTATCTGTTACTATTCATGCATGCATTTCATATTCTAGAATGAATGTTATGCGGAATTATTAGAAGTCGAATCACATATACGTAGTTGTCTGACATAAAATTTTTATCGTTAATTCAATCGAATCATGAAATTACAGTATTGATCTATAAAGGATTAATCTATTTTTTTGTTATTAATAAAATTGCCCAAATAGTCAACGATCTTTGTCTCGTATTTTTGCAACCGTGTAAACATTCTTCCCCTGTATATGGAATTTTTGATAATTTACTTGTTATTATGTATGTATTGTGTATTTCTTTTTGATATATCCATTGTTTTTATGTCGCTCCTTTTTTTTAATCTAGCGTTAGTTTTTGGAATAATGACAAATTATTTGTACATTCCTATTGGAGCTAATGATTATTAATCCTGTCTCTCTATAGTCACATGTATAAATACAATAATCACACTCTCTATAGTCACCCGATCTGTTTATGTCAAACAATACACTGCAAATCAATGTTCTCGTCTCCATTGTGCAATATTAATAATATAAACAAAAAAGAGCTAGACCCATCTCATCGGAGAATATTGAAAGAGAAATTTTCCGAAAAATCTGTTATAAAATCGGATTCGGGGGTTTCGATTTACATGTATTTTTAAATGATGGCGGTCACCACTACTACCCACATCAAACAAGTAACTAATACGACAGAGCTTGAGAATTATTTGAATGATAAGAGATTGGTACCGGTTTCCTTTTTTTCTATTTCGTTCTTAATTCAAATATATGCGATATATTTTATTAGTGTACTAACGAAAATTTTGCTTAAAAAGACTGTTGTCGAGTATACGTCAAAGTAAGAGAGAATTCCATCTTCTTTTTTTTTGTTATTCACTTTATGTCTCACTAATTGAGGCTGAATCTTTCGCTCGATATGCTAAAAACAGACATTGTTCTAAATGCAAGGCAATAGGTAATTTTACATGTAAAAGATTCATTCGCACTTTATTGTTTATTGTATTAATATTCAATTTTATAGCGCCACATATTGAGACTAAAGCAAAGGAACTTGAGGGAGTTGCGATATTTGTTAATGTTGACGTGAATGAATTAACGGTAACTATACAGATCATCTCTCATTAAGTACAGCCTTGAAAAGCGTCGTCGTCTTTACTAACAAAAAAAAAGTCCTTCACTTCAGCAAATGATATCACCATCCTTCCAACCTTCCAATTCTACCGTTCAAACACTCTCTTATCCACTTTCAACGACCGATCGTTACCCGCTGAGGATAATGCTCGTGGAAACTTTACCCTGTCAATCGACAATCTTATAAACTTGTTTTTAGTAAAGTATAGTCTCGGCTACAAAAAAATTACGGATGATTTGGCATTTTCGGGGCAGATCGAGGAGGAATGGGTCACGCGATTGGTGGATGCTGGTTTTCGTGCAGTTATTGATTTGAGTTGTGAGGGTGAAAATGGTTTGTATTTGGAAGTGATAATCATTTCTTTTTTAGTGATACTAACTAAACATTTCATTCACGTTTCATCGACAGATCATTTATCGAATGAAAAAGAATTGTTGGATGAAAAAGGACTTGAATACGTCCACTTTCCAATCTCGGTACGTTTTTAATTATTGATATCATTTCTACGCTCGTTCATTATACGCGTACTTGTATCCTTATTAAAAACCTTTTGCTTTCAGTCAGTGACACAAATTACACCATCTACATTCACAAAACTGACAAATCACATAACCACACTGCCAAAACCACTGCTCATACATTCGCGTATCGGATTACACGCATCAATCGTGTTATTGGCTTACGCAGCGAAAGAATACGGATCGGCGCTGCAAGAAGTTGTTGGTTGGGGAAATGATTTTGGGTATGATTATGAAGGATTGCCTGAAGGTATGTAGAGTGTATATTTTAAATATTTAATTATGCTGGCTTTCTGTGAGTCAAGTATCTAATGTCTTAAGTTTTATATTTGTAGTGATTCGGTTCTTGCAAAATACTCTCTCAAATTAAGATAATTTTTAAATCTTAGTTTAATAGTTAGATTTCTTAGAAAAACATATACATAATTATTTGGTCAGATCCTCAAAATTTTTGTATCAATTTTTTGCATTACCCAGGTTCCTATTATGCACAGTACAGCTCAATTCTTTGATACAAAAATGCTGGAATTGCATAATACAATTTGTACTACGCAAAACGCCCAACCAATCAGCACAAATCACCCAAAAAATCCCACAATTCATCAATCACCGTTCGCAAAAAAAATTTAGTATAAATAAACGAGCACCCCATCACCCGCCTGATTTTTTTATCTTTGTGCACGGGCATTATCTGCGCCAGTGAGGAGTAATCCGAGGCCAGATTATTGCTAATTGCAAACTATACCAATATCCCGTCTCCTCGACCGGCCGTCAAACGTTGGTCGGAGAGCAATTTTTGGAAGGGAGTAGTCCTCCCTTTTTTACAATGAATTTAGCGAACTGTGTCGGGGGTTTAAGGGAAGAAGAGAATTAATTAATTAATTAGAATTTGGAGATTGGCATGATGATGCCATCATGCATAAATCAAAAAAATTTTAACGCGTGAAAAATTATGATGACGAATCTTTCCTTGTATCAGTCAATCATTGCTAAATAAATTGCCATTTCGAGATTACTAATGCTTGAAAGTTTTTTTTTGTCCGCACATATCGTTCAACAAATTTTTTGGTTACTTAATTATTATGCTTGCGCGTGCTAAAACAGGTTTCAGATATATGAAATTTTATTGGCATAATAACAAAAAAGGGAGATTTTTGAATACTATTAATGTTATCAAAAAAGAAAGAATAGGTAGCTGCTTACAAATTCCTAGTTCCACCAAAAACAAATCCTTGTCAGTTATAAACATTATAAATATAGGTGAACTTGTAACGCCAGAAACAGAATCACAAAGTTATAGAAAGTTCAACAAAAACCACAAAAACATCAACAATAAAATTCATATAAGCTCCAAGTGGTATTCTAACACAACTTCAACAGGACATTTGTTATTATCATCATTAAAATCAAAGAATTCAAATCTATTTTCAATCAATAATTTAAATTCAAAAATACAAAAGAAAGAAATGCACTCAAAAGTTATAATTATCGGGTCTGGTCCGGCTGGGCATACGGCCGCCCTGTATTTATCACGTGCGACCTTGGAACCTGTTATGTATGAAGGGTTCTTGGCTAATGGTATTGCTGCAGGTGGTCAGGTATTGTTGCGTGTTTTAGAATTAAAGAACGTCTCAACGATCAAATCAATCCTCTAATTGTATGATTGATTATTGTTAACACAATCAGCTAACGACCACCACCGACGTCGAGAACTATCCCGGTTTCCCAGAGGGGATCGGTGGCATGGAAATGATGGATAAATTCCGTAAACAAAGCATACGATTTGGCACGAAAATAATTACAGAGACTATAACGAAAGTGGATTTCTCATCAAGGCCGTTCAAGTATTGGCTCGAGTCTAAAGAGAACGAGGAACCGCACACTGCGGATGCCATTATCGTGGCAACTGGTGCGGCAGCAAGGAGATTGAATTTACCGGGGGAGGAAAAATATTGGCAGCGAGGAATTTCCGCGTGTGCTGTTTGTGATGGTGTGTGTATTGGCTTTTTTTTTCTATTCGTTAATCAACTGATTATTTATTGATTACAAAATTAATAAAATATAAGGCGCCGTCCCAATCTTTCGAAACAAACCATTGGCAGTAGTGGGCGGAGGCGACTCCGCCGCTGAAGAAGCACTCTTTCTCACAAAATACGGATCACACGTCTTCGTAATTGTGCGTCGTGACAAACTCCGTGCATCAAAAGTAATGGCCAATCGACTCCTTGCCAACTCCAAAGTCACCGTAATCTGGGATCACATCCCAATTGAGGCAAAAGGCGACGGCAACCTCTTACAATCCATCCAATTAAGAAACACGAAAACCGGCGTCGAGCGTGAACTCCAAGTAAATGGTTTATTTTACGCGATTGGTCATGTGCCCGCCACAAAATTGGTTGAAGGGCAATTGGCACTCGATGAGGACAAGTATATTATCACGCAGCCGGATAGTACTGTGACGAGTGTTGAGGGAGTGTTCGCAGCGGGTGATGTTCAAGATAAAAAGTATCGACAAGCGGTTACTAGCGCTGGGTCGGGGTGCATGGCAGCGTTGGAATGTGAGAGGTGGTTGAGTGAAAAATTTGGAGAGTAGTAACGTTGATTAATTCTGTTGGTTTACCAAGGATTCTTCCTTATTTATAATTTAATTTATTTTCAAATAAAATCCTCACATGATCAAATACTGTATATGCTATGATAAAATTTTGTTCATAATCAGTTGCTAACGAAAAAAAACCTGAGAAGATCGAGGGTAAATTCCCATGTGGGGTATATGCACTTTGTTATTATCATCCTATCGTAATTATCATCATCATTGTGATTACGATAAATTAAATTCTTTAATCGATTCTCTAAGCAAAAGGAATCAATGATGCATGGTGATATCAAATTCATGGATTTTTAAATTTGTCTTGCCATATTTTTGTAATAAAAGTATAAAAATGGAACTTATCCATCTCCACCTACGTGAACGCCATCATCCCCTCCGAAATTTTCATCTAACGATAACAAAATACTCGTCGAAGACCAAATTCAATCAATCACGGCCAAAACAAGATTAGCAATGTCCGTAAAACTATTTGTTGGTGGTCTGTCATGGACAACCGATGACCGAGCACTCCGTCAAAAATTCGAGGAACATGGAAAAGTTCTAGATGCGGTGGTGATACGTGATCGTGACACGGGACGTAGTCGCGGTTTCGGATTCGTGACCTTCTCGAGCAGTAATGAGGCACAGTCGGCAATTAGGAGCTTAAATGATACAGAATTTAATGGTCGTACTATTAAAGTTGATCGCGCATCTGAGAGGTCGTCTCCGCCGGGGTATCCCCAGCAACAGCAACAGTTGCAGCTGCAGCTGCAACAACAAAGATTTGTCCCGCCCGCTTCTAGTTTTGCATATGGAAGTGCTGTGGGTAGTGGTTTGTATTATGGATATGGTGGTGATTTTGATGGTAATACTGGCGGTAATGGTGATAGTGATAATAATGATACTAATACTACTAATGCTAATGGCAATGGTGGTAATGATGCGCGTGGTGGGTATTGATATGAAAAAAATTGGTTACAATATACACATATTAATGACTGACAATTATTTCTTGTTATTTTCTTGATTTTGAAAAACCATCTTAGTATCTAACGATATTTATTATTATACATAATAGAATTATTATTATCATTATTTTTTTGCTGTTATATGTTATGATGATGAGGGACATTAATAAACATCACTAGGATTTTAATATTAACAATGAATGCCAATCATCATTCAACCAAAATAAAGCAAACAAAAGTTATTAAAATAATTATTAGTCAAACTCGATTTAACGAGGACGGATTTTACCCAAAATACCCTCAAATAAACTCTTAATCACGCATAAACATCTTTGATGAATTAAAAAAAATCTACTATTAAATAAATGATAACTTTTCAAAGATGTTTCTCGAGCGTTAAATAAATAAAATTCTTTTTACTACATGATAATTTGCGGTTCCGTGATATTATTGGCGATACATTTGTGAGGTAGCACGCATCCGCCGTTCACATAGATTTCGTCGTTTACTGATACGTCATCGCCTAGGACTGATACACCTTCAAGACGTGTCTGATTTATAGAGAACGGAAATTAGTTCAAAACCATCACGCACATGAATACCCACACGAATGCAAAAACAAAAATCTATACCCAGCGTCCAAGTGTCGAATGCCAGCCGATGATACTATTCTTCACCCAAGCAAAATCTTTAATCCGTGTCCCCTCTAACACAACACACCGTTGCAACCGTACCCCGTCCCCAATGACTACATTCGGCCCAATCGTAACATTCGGTCCAATTCGACAATCTTTACCGATTTTCGCCGTTGGATCAACCAACACATTTCCGCCGTACACGAATTCACACTCGGAATTGACAAGTAGCTGTGGCTGTTTCTTTGCGAGGTTTGCTAGGTACATACAGGTGCCGGTTAAAAAGTCCTTTGGTTGACCAACGTCCATCCAGTAACCGTCAAGTTCGAAGGCGTGTAATTGTTGTTCGTGCGCCATTAACGGGAATATTTCTTTTTCGATTGATGTAGGTTTTAACTTTTGACGAGAAAAATTTATTTAGATAATCGTTTGTAAAAAAAATATAAAAAGCACACTCGTAGTATGATTTTAAACTGTTATTAATACCTCAATCCGATCCAATATTTCCGGATTAAATATGTAAATACCAGCATTAATTTTATTGCTTACAAACTCTGCGGGTTTCTCAACAAAACGTTCAATACATGTGGTGCCCAAATGATTGACAATTACACCGTATTTTGATGGTTCTTCCACTTTAGTAACCTATTCATGCATAATTATAATCGAGTATCCAATTAGCAACTAAAAAATATAATCCTTGCTAACCCATCATACTACATCACCTTAGTTCCTATCACCCTCTCATCTCACAACACCACACACTTTTACCCTCACCCCAACCTGTACGCCTCTCTTAAAAAATAACAATAATACGTACGACAATTGTGCCTTCTTTTCCATGCGCGGCATGAAAATCTCTCAAAAGTTCAAATGGATATTCACAAATAATATCGCTATTAAGGACAAAAAACGGCAGATGATCTTTTCCCAAAATCTCTCGAGCCAATGCAAGAGGGCCAGCTTGATTAATTTGAAATGAAGCTCGTATATTTAGTATTGTAGTCATGAAATATTATTTGCTTGCTCCATCCTCTAATACAACCCATCTATTCATTGCAATTCAAGCTGCCTAACCCAATCGTACCTACCGGTGCCTAATGGTTCAGTCTCGACGGAAAACGTAATCCTTATATTATACTGTTGTTCGTATTTTTTTAGAATTTGTTCCATGATTTCCGGTCGATAGTTCACCGCTAAAACGATATCAGTGACTCCTGCCTAAATAGGAAACACGAGCAAAGACGATTAATATGCTTTCTCGAATGGGATTCGGTTGATAACGAAAATGATACCTTTACAAGTCCTTCAATTTGATGCTGTATCATTGGTTTATTACAGAACTCCACCAATGGTTTTGGGAGTGTAAGCGTAAGTGGACGAAGACGCGTACCGAAACCTTTATTTAAATTTTATTAAAGGTATTCGAGTTAGATACATGGTTAGACCTTTCGAAGTCCGCCCAAGACCACAGCTGTTAACCAAGGCTGATAAGACAAAAAACAACTAAAACATACCACCCACAAGAATGAGAGCCTTCATTATATACTAAAGTTTAGCGGTAATAAGTATAAAAGATGATGAAAAAAAAATTAAAAAAATTTAAATATTTATAATGAAAAAATTTCCGTTGTGTGAAAAATAGACGAGTCTAAAAATATGTGTATGATATTTTCTATTTATCACTATCCTCCTATATTTGGGTTCGTTAGTGAGTGCACGGTATTAGAGAAGAGGAGAATGACATGTTTCGATAAATGTACAGTATGTCGTCGTTCGACCCAATTGGAAATTGTTCAAAGTTACATCCACTACATTTGAATAAAAATTGCGAGTTTGGGAAAAGTCGATCTGACCTGATGTGATTTTGATTGATTAGAAAAAATAACGCGTGTTTCATTCTAAAACCATGGAAATTTTCGTTAATACGAAAAATATTTGTTCTAAGCTCTCCGACGATACAAATTCTTCTCATTCTTGCTCAATAATCCAAGCAAAAACAGTACTACAACCACCAATACTTCACCTTCTTCCGTGTCATATAGACTTTGAAGGTCCCGCAAAAGTAAATTCATATTTTCTGATTGAACAACTTGTGAACCGCGAAATTGGTAAAGATAAATAATAATAAAAAACGATAAAATCAATGATATTTAAAATGTGGTTAGATCTTGTGGCGATTCCAAATATTACTAAGTCTAATGGTATTGTTACTGTTGAAAAGACGCGTCTAAAAAACCTGATAGTAACGAGACCGAATCAGCATCATTATCGTCCCCACCAATAGCTAATACACTTTGTTCCTCTTTTCGTGGACGAAAACTTATTGGTCATGAGGTGGTCTTGAAAGATGGTTATGAAGGTATGGTGAATTCATATGTCTACTATATTTTTAAAAGAATTGTATATTCTAACAAAGATCAATGTACCCATACAATATTAAACATTTATCGCCATTTGATATTAACATAACTTCTCAAAAACAGGCTTCATATTTAAAGAAACTTCGATGAAACCAACATCCTCATTTAAAGAATCTTCGCTATTATTGACAACCATCTCCTCGGTCTCTAATAGTAATGATGAAAATGAAAATAACAATGATGATCATCTATCAGATTTGGATCGTGAACTACTCGAACTAACGACATGTGACGAAGAAACAATGATAAGATGTTGGGAGACCGCGCATGAAAAGTTTGATCGGTTTACGGTCTGGGGACACGACGAGCTTCCAGAAAGTTGGAATTGTCCGGTGATTAAGTCGTTGGAATGGTTGGGAATTTCGGATGCGGTTAGTTTTTTTTTTTTTTAATTTATTCTATTATCATTTTTGTGGGAATATATATATATAACTGTTGGGATATATTATAATGTTATGTATTAGTTTCATGAACCTACTCCACCCCCGATTGCTGTGCCGTTAGTCAAGAGTGAGTAGATGGGAACATGTCAATTGATAATAGTGATAAAAATTCCAAATAATTACACCACGTAATATTTAATTCGTGGTCTAGATGTGGATCAATGGAATTTGCTGTTTATTAGCATTTGGAACGGTGTATTAGAAATTGAAAACACAAATGTTTGAAACTTTGGAGAACAATTCAGAACATCAAATTTTGCTCTCCTCAATTTAAATATAAATTCCTTAGTATGCTTTTTATATTAAGTAATTAAATCTGTTCATCATCAAATATGATCATAACACGTGATTCTCAATTTTTGATAACTATGACGCGATTACGCGAATGCGAATGTTTCTCAGAGTGATTACTGCAACTATGTCTTCCGAAATTTCCAACTCCGCTGTTGCGTATCAGCAGCATATACAACCTGATGGAACTGGTCAGATGCAATTACCATTTGGTGAAGGTTTTTCTCGTCCTTCAGCTTCTAGTGGAGAAAGTCTAATCCTGTCCACTGATGGCTACGATCTTGAAGAAGAATTAGCCACGATCTTGAATGAAGTCTCACCACGTCTACCCATGAGCACACAACAAGAAATGACTAATGGTGCTGTGCGAAGTTTCACCATTACTGAAGAGTCATTACAACGCTCTATTACACTCTGGGATATGTTTTTGGATGTTTTGGAAGCGACAGATTCAGACAACGATATTGAAGATGAAGAAAGCGATGACGACGATGAAAGAGAATTCTTTGAAGATGACACTGTAAACGTAGATGTCCCTCCAATTCCGGAACTCTTTCGAGAAACAGCTTTCATAGCTGTTGATATGACTGCGGCTCAAGAAGAAACATTTATAGAACAAGTTGTAAATGAACGACCTATCTTTCAATATTATGAAAACGATGATAGCGACAAAACCATTCTCACAAACGTATATGATATTTTGGATTTTGTTAGTGCGTATTTCTTCTAACATATAGAAACTTTAGGGGAGGGTGGAGGGCCAGAATATTACGGAAGACTGACTTGGCGGAGTACTTGTTTACAAAGTTATTTAAATTCTGGTCAATACAACACAACAAATACTCGTATATGCATGCCACAACATACTCGACAAGCAACAGAGTTGATTTTGAAATGGTCGATACCATAATCGTATATGTACGCGTAAACGTTTATATTATTACTCTTTCAAATGCCAAATTATTGTGGTTCATTTGACACCCATTTTACATCACCATGAGAGAAAGAGAGGACCCCGCTGTAGTAAACGGGTTGAACCATCATTATATACCATACGAAAGCAAGGATAGATGTATTTCCTTATAAAATATGATTTAAATTTTTTGTAAAGCAAGTTTTCAGAAAATATTATTCATACATATCGGAAATGAAGAATTGCAATATCGAATTGGTATTTTATTAAACAATAAGAATATATCATTTATATTAATTCCTATCAAACGTTGACTTGAAGCAGACCAATCAATACCGGAATCACACGTGACGAAATGATCATTATCGAATGGACATCAATAATTGAGAGGACATGGCAAAAGCGACACTAATAGGCTTAGAGCAAATATCTGGACATTCTCACATCTTTATACCTCGGATATCAATCAATTTTGATACAAATGTAAAAAGTAATCTTACGCAAAAGAAATTGATGTCAAGTATTTGGTTATGCAGAGTGATGAAATATCTCGTGCACACTATATCAAAATCATGATTTTTTTAAAAGTTCACAAAAATTGGATAATACATTCATTTATAAGAAATTAATAAAAATAAAAATAAAAATAAAAATTTACCTTCTAAATCACGGAGTCTTGTAGATAAATTGTATTTTTATAATCTTTAAATTGAATTATAAATGGAGTTCTCGCAATTTCACCTTCTATATCAACACCAGAGGAATTTTAATTATTATTAATATTATTGTGATTTTCTCGACCTATTAGCATCCTTTTCAGAATCTCCCGAATATATTTAAGCCGACTTGCAATCACCGGATACTGATCGCCAAATATTTCATAGTTGACGTGTAGAGTTTTCATTTCTTGATCACTGTTTATCCACGTGACTACTCGTCCTTCGTCTGATAATAGGAATTTATGGTGATCGTAGAAATTGACCTATAAATGTATTAACAAAAGTCGCCTAACAAGTGAGTTGATTTTCGAAATAAACATCTCTCATAATCAATAATTGACTAACCTGAACCACCCGATTACTCAGTCGAAACAATATTCCATGCGCCGTCTTAGTGTATTTTGTCAAGAAAATCATACCTTCTGTACGATTTTTATCGACATAAGAGTACGGGTACGTCTTGAACATTGGTTTCGCCAGCGCTGATTTGAAGTTTTTCAGTAAACCCACCTTTTTTGCTAATGCATCTGGATAGTCTTCCAATGTGTATAAAGAACGTTTGAGTCGTGAGGAGATGAATTCAAAGTGTCTGAACAGGATATCAGAACCAATATGATCAGTAATGATGACAATTCTGAACGTCGTTAATAGCTTCGGAGGAATAAATTAAATACATACAATTCATCAGGCGAGAGCACAAGCGTTGATTTGTCATTTAGATGCATGCCAACCGTACCGTCTGTGAGTTCGTATCCAATGCCAAATTTTGTAGAATAGTCCATCCATTTTGTTATGAATACGGTGGGTGGTACCGGTGCTATTTTTAACAAATTTTTTTAATACAAGCATACTCTATCTTTATAAAGCATTGTTTATTATACTTATATACCTTCTGACGGCGATGATTTTGTGGAAACTTGAGGTTTATCCAATTTACTTTCGGCAAAGACCTTCTCTAATGTATCGTATGTCGCACCAATGGCCGAATATTGATGAGCTTTGGAAGCTTTATAATTGATATAATTAATATATTAACAGACTATAATGAATTATCAAAATGTAATAATGAAGAGAATTTACTTACGAGACTCGTTACCGCTAGTAGTAGTCTTAGTCTTTGAAGATGAAGAGGAAGAACTGGGAGGAAGATTAAATCGGACTGTCGGTTTTATTGGATCTGTAGTGGAAACTTGTTTCGTAATTTTATTATCATGTGATTCATTTGTTGAAGACTGACGGTTCGTATGAGTGGTTTTATTAACGGGAGGGAAAATGTCTTTTGGTTCAATTATATGATTTTTATTATAGGAAGTGAGGTTTGTGGTAGTTGCTGTAGTTTTTGTGGACGTAACATTGATGGCTCGCGCATTTGTAATGGATGGCTTTATAGGAAGATTAACTGTTGAAGTAAATTTTAAGGGCTGCAGTGAATCTTTTGGTCCAATTGTATTTGATGACGCCGTCATTTGTTTATTTCGATTATCTTGTAATACAGTAAGTGGGCGACGATTTTCGCCTCCCCCGGTTGTACTTGATATCTTCGGGATTTGCTTGTTTCGATTTTCTTGTAGCACAACCAGTGGGCGACGATTTTCCAACATCCCAAATTTGGGATTATTAATACTAAATGGCGGATTAGGGTTATTTAAACCATCCAACTTAAGTGACGGCAGCAGCGGTTCGAAATCCGGTTTTATTCGTAGCGCGGATGTTGGTAGTTGTGTTGGTGTGAAGCCTTTGAAGAAGGGATGGTTTAACACTTGGTCTATTGTGGGCCGGTCCTCTTTATATTGATTTTTTTCGTGTTAATTAATTCAAAATCCTGTTAATGATTTTAATTGAATAGTTATTACATACCTGGCTGTTGTGTCAGCATATAGTTTATCAAGTCTTTAGCCTCGGACGATACATTAATGTTTGATGGAAAGTCGTATTTGTGCTCCTTAATTTTTCTGATAATTGTAATTTTTTTTGTTATTCAATGATTTGAGATAATCTTAACTTTACATCTTATAGAGAAATATGTATACCGGTATATGTCCTCTACGCTTCCTTTTGTTTGAAATGGAGGTTTACCGAAAAGTAGAGTGTACCTGAATAAATTTTTATTAGATAAAAGAAAACTTAATAATAAATAAAATAGAAATGGAATAAGGAAAAACAGAAAGACAAGCAAAACAGATACTTACACTATCACCCCAACAGACCATATATCCACCTCATAGCTATGCCCAGTCTTATCGAATAACACCTCAGGCGCTATATAATTTGGGGTACCACAAATCGTTCTTTATTTTTTGTAAAAGGATCAAAAAATTCAGTTATAAAATCATTTCATTTAAAATCAAATCAAGCTCTACAACAAAAATTAAGAGCATAACTTTTTCCGCTCAGACGCGTCCTGAAGCTGTGTCGCCAATCCAAAATCACCAATCTTGACCTTCATGTCTTCTGACAGCAAGAGATTTGCTAGTTTCAGATCTCGATGTATGACACATGTACGGTGCATATACCTGCAGGCGTCTAGTATCTGACAAAGAAAGTATCGGACTTCGGGTTCTGTTAGGCGTTTTCGAAATTTGTTCATTTCTAAGAGAGTCTGATTTTTTATTATTGCCAGCAATAAAAGAATTTAATTAATTCAATAGAATTGAATCGAAGGAATACTTTTACTTGAAATGTGCCTTACTTTATTGGGACAATATTCTAGTATTAGATATACAAAAGCGTCATCTTCGAATGCTTCATGGAATCGCACAATATTTGGATGCTCCATTAATTTGTGGATTTTGATTTCGGATAGAAGCTATTAATGATAGTATTAAATGCAATTTATTGTACATAAATATTAGATGTTGATTTACCCATAGCAAAACATCTTAAATATTATCATGTTTTCTTGTATGCATGTGGAAAAAAATGAAATTGCACATCTTATGCTTAGATTACGTCAAATTTATAAATTTGTGAAAATTATTAAATGGAGATTCATTTATTCATACCTTTGGTTTATTCTTTGGACTCTTTGAAAGTGACTCTTTCGAAACAACTTTTGCAGCACATAAATTCCCCTTTAGATCAACTACCGCGTAACACTTGGCAAATCCACCCTATTATTGTCATAAACGATAAGTAAAAAAATAAATATCGGGTTCAAATTCGAAACAACGTTTCTGCCTGAAAAAATACAACCGAAAGACGCGTTAAATTACCTCACCAAGTAACCCACGTCGCGTATACTCCTGTCGAGTTTTACGAGCTTTGATTTGAATAGGAGGTTCATTTGTGTGACGGGGGTGAAAAGTTGCTGTTGGATTCATTATTCGATCCGTCATTATTCTGTGTGTGTGGATAATGCAAAATTGTAAATTGTAGGTGTTTGTTTATTTTATTTCAAAAAAAGTTTTGGAATAGAAAGATCGCTGATAAAAAAATTAATGAAAATTCTACCGTGCTTTATTGGCTTTATTGGCTTTATTGATTGGTTGATCGATCGATTGGCATGTGATCTTTGGCTAGTACCCTAGCCACGGCAAAAAAAGTGTCGACCACGTGATTTTCCGACCAATATCCAGCACTCGGCTATATCACGTTATTACGACTGATGCCGGTGCAGGGACGATGATTTTCTGCGATGATTAAAGATAAATTCTGTCTGCAATAATATATCGTTTCTGCAAAAATTCTGCAATATTAAAAACTTATAGTTCTGCAATAATACTTAATAATTCTGTAATAATAATTCGAATTCTGTAATTATTCTGCAGTTTTTTTATTTATTAAAAATATAATATATTCAATAATCTAAGTAAGATTTTGTCTATCATTAGATAGAATATTATTATAGTTTGAAAAATTGCATTCTACACTGCAACTAGAAATAGATAATCAAATATAATTTAAAACTATATTAGATAATAATTGAAATTAATTGATATTATCTTATCAAAACTCATCTAAATCCAAATTTCACTCTTATTTTATTCATAATAAATAATCTATTTTTATCCAAATATTTCTTTTTTCAATTGTATCAAAACAAGTATAAGCAGAATCAAATACTTGATATGCTTTGAATAAAGAATATGAAGAATATATAAGAATATGTGAATTAAATTTTTAAAGAAAATTTTAAACTTTGATGTATTTTGCTTTTAATATGATCATTTACTGTTAATTTACATTTTTATTCAATAGAAATATTACAAAAATTACAAAAAAGTAGATTGTTATTAATATAAAAATGATCAGAAAATTCAGAAATATGGATTTGAAAAGTAATTTTCTTATATCATGCTATCATAAAATTAATTTTTAATTAAAAAAATATGATTTTTATTTAAAAAGAATATATTAAAAAATTTATATATATTTTTTTATAAAAGAACAAGAAGATAAATTCATAATTTTTATAATTTTTACAATTTAATATAATATTTATAAAAAATCTTATTAATTTATAATTTCTGCAATTTTTTGTATTTTACAGAATTTTATTATTCTTATACTGATATAATAATTAAAAATAGTATAGCAAGTATGTAATACTTATTTATTACTTATTACAATATATTATAACTCTAAAATTTTATAAGTTATAATTAGTTATAATCAAAAAATACTTATTTATTATCATGTTACAATAGTTAAAAAGCTATCTTTAATAATGATACACTTTATAAATTTTTAATTAGTCAAGACAAAAAAATAATAGCTTTATTATTAGCTTTACTATAATAAAAATTATATTATATATCTTGAATTTTTTTTAAAGAATTAATATAATTAAAATATAAATTTTTTTTTGATTTTTTAATTTCTTATTAACTATAAACTTGCAATATTTTCTAGTACTTATTAACTATTTTTATTATTAACTTTAATAAGCTATTGAAAATATCTATAAAATAATTATTATTTATTTTTAATTTGTATAAGATAAATATAATTTTTATAAATTTTTTATAAGAAATAATCTTTTCTTGTCTTTTTATTAATTATATTATATCTTATAATTATTAATAAGTTAATAATACTTAAGTTTTCTTCTTTAATAAGATTGATTATTAATATATCTTGTAAGTTATCACTTTCTTTATCAAAACTATTCATCCTATATTAAGATTAGAAATTACTTACTAAATTAATCATTAGTATTTTATCTTTTTTAAAAGTAAATAAAAGATAATTATATTAATATATTATTTCTAAAAAGATAGGTTAAAAATAGATATCATCTTTCTTTATAACAAGATACTTGCAGATAAGATAATAATTATAAAGATATACTAAATAAGAATATATTCAGTTATTTATACTAATATAATAAATTTTATTTATATTAGACTAGATTTTTATAATTATTACTTTCTTCTAATTAATTTTAAAATAATCTTATTATAATAGAAATATCTATTTTTTTTAAATTAATTTATTTTAAGATTAAAATCAGATATTAAATATTTTACAAGAATCCGAGTAAGATAATTCAAACTAAAGATAATATTATAACTTAATTATAATTTTTTAATTAGTTATTATAATTAATTATAATTTTCTGATTAATTATTATAAGTCATAATTAATTAAGATAATATTTTTAATTTAGATATAATTAATTATAATTATATTTATAATTATATTTAAGAACTTATTAATACAGTTAGAAAGATTTCTAAATTTGATTATAAAAATTATTTCTTTTATAATAGCAAAAATACATCTAGAAATTTCTGGAATTTAATTGCAAAACATCAAAAAAAATATGCTAATTGACTTAAAACTCAATATTTTTATTATTTAATTCAGATCTAACTTCTTAAAGGATATTTATTAAATTTTTATAGAATTTATTTGCTAAGTCTTGAAAATATAATTATTCTAAATCATTTAAAAAAATATTAAAGAGTTAATAATAGATAAAAATTATAGTTTTATTAATATATTTTCAGCTTTTTAATTATTTGTATCTTTATTTATTATCAATATTAGTTGCCAAGTATCTAATAGTATTTTCTTAATTAGTCTTGTTTTAATAAAGTCTGTTCACTTTATTTGTATAATTTTACTAAATTATTTTATTTCTTTACTTAATATAAATTTATTATTTATATTATGAAAACTATAATTAAAAGTATTTAGATTTATAAATTATATTTTTCTTATTTGAATCTGAAATTGATTTAATTCAGTAATAAAACTAGAATATATACAAGATCTGTGTAATTCACTTTCAGAATATTCTATTATATTAAAAAGATTATTATATAATTTCACAAATTTGATATAATTATGTATTGTAATTTTCTAATGTCATTATAAAGATATAAAAAGAATTAATAATTTGAGTTATTTATTAATTTCTTCAAGTATTATATCATGATTTTGATACTAATTTAAAAATTTTGATCATGATATTATCACTTTTTCTTAAATTAACTTATTAATTTTAGGCTTCAATCATAATCTTTATTTTTTATCAACTATTTTAATTAATTAGTAAATCAAATAACATTGAGTAGATCAGATTGGTATAAATATTTATTTAGTTATAAATCTTATTAAAGATCTATTAAAATAAATACCAATACAAAAGTTAATAATTGCTTGTAAATAAAAAAAAATTTGATCATATTTTAATCTGAATATGAAATCAGTTTAATTTCAAGTCCCACTCTAAATAACTATTAATAGAAGAATTTTTTAAAGAAATAATATATAATTATATTAATTTAGAAGTTATTGCATATCTATATATATTATATATTGAATTTTATAACTTATGATAGTTAGAATATTTTTTAAAGAATTATAGCTAACTCTCACTTTGATATCTCTGAAACTGAATAAAATATCTTATATTAATATGCCAATTCAATTTGATAAATACTTTTAATATATTCATTTCTTCATGAAAAGTACTAGATATTAATATAAGCCAAGAAAAATCTTTCTTGATTATTTGTATATGATGATATGATATATTATTATATATTACTACAACCTATTTATAATTATTATTCTTAATATTAGATAGTTTTTCAATATGCTTAAAAATCTTTTAAATATTAATAGTCAAATTTGAGTTTATCAGTATCAGATAAGAAATATATAATTATATTATATAAATCTCACTCTCTGAATTTGATTATATTTTTTTAAATATATAAAAATAGGTAATAGATTTTTTAATAGTAATATTTGTAATGTTAGCTGACTTATTCAATTGATTCATCTTAATAATTATTGATAATTTATTATGATATATAGAATAGACTTACTTCTTATTATTAATATTAAATAATTGATAAGCAAAATATTTTTTAACAAATTTAATCTGATTTTGATAACATATTAATTTATTAATTATATTTTTTTCTTGATTTTTTTCTATACAAAGCTTATTTAAAATAATTATAAGATAATTAGTAAGTTCTGCATGAATTTCATTTCTTATATTTAAAATTAAAGAAAATAATTTCTCATATTCCTTTTTAAAAAGTTCAAAATATAGTTAAAGATTTGTATTTTGAATATTATTACTTTGATTATAATTAAAAGTAGCAAAATTCATAATAATATAGAATATTTACTATATTATATTCATGATCTAAGTAATTTTTTTATTCTTTCTGTTTATTATCAAAAGCTAAAAATAAAAAACTATCAGAAAGCTTTGACTATTCTATAGCTAAACTTTCTAATCAGTTAGTAAATTTTTTATAATATCTGGAGTTTATAATATGATTATTGATATTAATAACTATTTTTAATCTTGCTAATAAATATTTGATTACTGAAATGACTAAGTTAATAGCAGAAATATATTTCAAATATCATGAACTATATATAGCATCAACTATTATGGCATGCTTAAAAAATTTCTCCTCTTCATTTTGATATTTATTTTCATTATGTGTAAGAATTTCAATAAATCTTATGATAACTAGATTTCATTTCACAAGCCATTTCAAAGAAGAATATTCTAAAAGACTATCTAAATTAAATTACTCATGATTATTAATCAAATTTATTACATTATTATACAGATTATCTTATTTTCTTTTAATAATTTCCATTATAATTAATAATTACTAATTCAAGTCTTTTAAATTATATATTCTTTTTAGAAATACTTTATTTGACAAGAATACTTAGACTCTGAATTCAGAAAAAGTTTTTTTGGAAGATGACAACTTGATATTATCAGAGAGTTTCAGTCTTTTTTTTCTGTATCTAAAAAATTTAAATTATCTAGTTTTATAGCTTATTTAATATAATATTTCTTAATAATAATCTGATTATAATACTTTTCATATAAAGAATAATTATCTAG